GGGGGGCAGATCTCCCATCATGCCTCAGGGCAGGGGCAGACCCTCAAAGGCTTCTGGGATTGATGGAGGTCCTCTCCCCTCCCCCGGTGCATTGTGGGATAGAGGGTGGCCTGGTGCATGCTGGGAGGTCACTGGACCACCCCCCAGGGGATGATGGGAAGGCGCGAGGCCTGGTCTGGCGGTTTGAGGCCTGCCCCAATGCATGCTGGGATACCCAGTGCCCCATTGCATGCTGGGATGGCGCGAGGCCTGGTCAGGTGTGGTTTGCTGGCTTGAGGCCTGCCCCAGGGGATGCTGGGATAGCCAGTGCCCCATTGTATCCTGGAATGGCGTAAGGCCTACTGAAGCCTGGTCTACCGGATTGAGGCCTTCCCCAGGGCATGCTGGGATACCCAGTGCCCCATTGCAGGCTGGGATGGCGTGAGGCCTAGTGAGGCCTGGTCTGGCGGGTTGAGGCCTAGGCTAGAGCATGCTGGGATACCCGGTGCCCCGGTGCATGCTGGGATGGCGTGAGGTCTACTGAGGCCTGGTCCGCCGTGTTGAGGCCTGGTCTGGCGGGTTGAGGCCTGCCCCAGAGCATGCTGGGATACCCGGTGCCCCATTGCAGGCTGGGATGGCGTGAGGCCTGGTCTGGTGACTTGAAGCCTATCCCATGGCATGCAGGGATACTCATTGCCCCATTGCATGCTGGGATGGTGTGAGGCCTAGTGAGGCCTGGTGTGGCGGGTTGCTCCAAAGCATTGTGGGAAACTGGAAGCCCCAGTGCATGCTGGGATACCTCAAGGCCTGGTCTGCCAGGATGAGGCCTCCCCCAGGGCATGCTGGGATACCCAGTGCCCCATTGCAGGCTGGGATGGCGTGAGGCCTAGTGAGGCCTGGTGTGGCGGGTTGCTCCAAAGCATTGTGGGAAACTGGAAGCCCCAGTGCATGCTGGGATACCTCAAGGCCTGGTCTGCCAGGATGAGGCCTCCCCCAGGGCATGCTGGGATACCCAGTGCCCCATTGCAGGCTGGGATGGCGTGAGGCCTAGTGAGGCCTGGTGTGGCGGGTTGCTCCAAAGCATTGTGGGAAACTGGAAGCCCCAGTGCATGCTGGGATACCTCAAGGCCTGGTCTGCCAGGATGAGGCCTCCCCCAGGGCATGCTGGGATACCCAGTGCCCCATTGCAGGCTGGGATGGCGTGAGGCCTAGTGAGGCCTGGTGTGGCGGGTTGCTCCAAAGCATTGTGGGAAACTGGAAGCCCCAGTGCATGCTGGGATACCTCAAGGCCTGGTCTGCCAGGATGAGGCCTCCCCCAGGGCATGCTGGGATACCCAGTGCCCCATTGCAGGCTGGGATGGCGTGAGGCCTAGTGAGGCCTGGTGTGGCGGGTTGCTCCAAAGCATTGTGGGAAACTGGAAGCCCCAGTGCATGCTGGGATACCTCAAGGCCTGGTCTGCCAGGATGAGGCCTCCCCCAGGGCATGCTGGGATACCCAGTGCCCCATTGCAGGCTGGGATGGCGTGAGGCCTAGTGAGGCCTGGTGTGGCGGGTTGCTCCAAAGCATTGTGGGAAACTGGAAGCCCCAGTGCATGCTGGGATACCTCAAGGCCTGGTCTGCCAGGATGAGGCCTCCCCCAGGGCATGCTGGGATACCCAGTGCCCCATTGCAGGCTGGGATGGCGTGAGGCCTAGTGAGGCCTGGTGTGGCGGGTTGCTCCAAAGCATTGTGGGAAACTGGAAGCCCCAGTGCATGCTGGGATACCTCAAGGCCTGGTCTGCCAGGATGAGGCCTCCCCCAGGGCATGCTGGGATACCCAGTGCCCCATTGCAGGCTGGGATGGCGTGAGGCCTAGTGAGGCCTGGTGTGGCGGGTTGCTCCAAAGCATTGTGGGAAACTGGAAGCCCCAGTGCATGCTGGGATACCTCAAGGCCTGGTCTGCCAGGATGAGGCCTCCCCCAGGGCATGCTGGGATACCCAGTGCCCCATTGCAGGCTGGGATGGCGTGAGGCCTAGTGAGGCCTGGTGTGGCGGGTTGCTCCAAAGCATTGTGGGAAACTGGAAGCCCCAGTGCATGCTGGGATACCTCAAGGCCTGGTCTGCCAGGATGAGGCCTCCCCCAGGGCATGCTGGGATACCCAGTGCCCCATTGCAGGCTGGGATGGCGTGAGGCCTAGTGAGGCCTGGTGTGGCGGGTTGCTCCAAAGCATTGTGGGAAACTGGAAGCCCCAGTGCATGCTGGGATACCTCAAGGCCTGGTCTGCCAGGATGAGGCCTCCCCCAGGGCATGCTGGGATACCCAGTGCCCCATTGCAGGCTGGGATGGCGTGAGGCCTAGTGAGGCCTGGTGTGGCGGGTTGCTCCAAAGCATTGTGGGAAACTGGAAGCCCCAGTGCATGCTGGGATACCTCAAGGCCTGGTCTGCCAGGATGAGGCCTCCCCCAGGGCATGCTGGGATACCCAGTGCCCCATTGCAGGCTGGGATGGCGTGAGGCCTAGTGAGGCCTGGTGTGGCGGGTTGCTCCAAAGCATTGTGGGAAACTGGAAGCCCCAGTGCATGCTGGGATACCTCAAGGCCTGGTCTGCCAGGATGAGGCCTCCCCCAGGGCATGCTGGGATACCCAGTGCCCCATTGCAGGCTGGGATGGCGTGAGGCCTAGTGAGGCCTGGTGTGGCGGGTTGCTCCAAAGCATTGTGGGAAACTGGAAGCCCCAGTGCATGCTGGGATACCTCAAGGCCTGGTCTGCCAGGATGAGGCCTCCCCCAGGGCATGCTGGGATACCCAGTGCCCCATTGCAGGCTGGGATGGCGTGAGGCCTAGTGAGGCCTGGTGTGGCGGGTTGCTCCAAAGCATTGTGGGAAACTGGAAGCCCCAGTGCATGCTGGGATACCTCAAGGCCTGGTCTGCCAGGATGAGGCCTCCCCCAGGGCATGCTGGGATACCCAGTGCCCCATTGCAGGCTGGGATGGCGTGAGGCCTAGTGAGGCCTGGTGTGGCGGGTTGCTCCAAAGCATTGTGGGAAACTGGAAGCCCCAGTGCATGCTGGGATACCTCAAGGCCTGGTCTGCCAGGATGAGGCCTCCCCCAGGGCATGCTGGGATACCCAGTGCCCCATTGCAGGCTGGGATGGCGTGAGGCCTAGTGAGGCCTGGTGTGGCGGGTTGCTCCAAAGCATTGTGGGAAACTGGAAGCCCCAGTGCATGCTGGGATACCTCAAGGCCTGGTCTGCCAGGATGAGGCCTCCCCCAGGGCATGCTGGGATACCCAGTGCCCCATTGCAGGCTGGGATGGCGTGAGGCCTAGTGAGGCCTGGTGTGGCGGGTTGCTCCAAAGCATTGTGGGAAACTGGAAGCCCCAGTGCATGCTGGGATACCTCAAGGCCTGGTCTGCCAGGATGAGGCCTCCCCCAGGGCATGCTGGGATACCCAGTGCCCCATTGCAGGCTGGGATGGCGTGAGGCCTAGTGAGGCCTGGTGTGGCGGGTTGCTCCAAAGCATTGTGGGAAACTGGAAGCCCCAGTGCATGCTGGGATACCTCAAGGCCTGGTCTGCCAGGATGAGGCCTCCCCCAGGGCATGCTGGGATACCCAGTGCCCCATTGCAGGCTGGGATGGCGTGAGGCCTAGTGAGGCCTGGTGTGGCGGGTTGCTCCAAAGCATTGTGGGAAACTGGAAGCCCCAGTGCATGCTGGGATACCTCAAGGCCTGGTCTGCCAGGATGAGGCCTCCCCCAGGGCATGCTGGGATACCCAGTGCCCCATTGCAGGCTGGGATGGCGTGAGGCCTAGTGAGGCCTGGTGTGGCGGGTTGCTCCAAAGCATTGTGGGAAACTGGAAGCCCCAGTGCATGCTGGGATACCTCAAGGCCTGGTCTGCCAGGATGAGGCCTCCCCCAGGGCATGCTGGGATACCCAGTGCCCCATTGCAGGCTGGGATGGCGTGAGGCCTAGTGAGGCCTGGTGTGGCGGGTTGCTCCAAAGCATTGTGGGAAACTGGAAGCCCCAGTGCATGCTGGGATACCTCAAGGCCTGGTCTGCCAGGATGAGGCCTCCCCCAGGGCATGCTGGGATACCCAGTGCCCCATTGCAGGCTGGGATGGCGTGAGGCCTAGTGAGGCCTGGTGTGGCGGGTTGCTCCAAAGCATTGTGGGAAACTGGAAGCCCCAGTGCATGCTGGGATACCTCAAGGCCTGGTCTGCCAGGATGAGGCCTCCCCCAGGGCATGCTGGGATACCCAGTGCCCCATTGCAGGCTGGGATGGCGTGAGGCCTAGTGAGGCCTGGTGTGGCGGGTTGCTCCAAAGCATTGTGGGAAACTGGAAGCCCCAGTGCATGCTGGGATACCTCAAGGCCTGGTCTGCCAGGATGAGGCCTCCCCCAGGGCATGCTGGGATACCCAGTGCCCCATTGCAGGCTGGGATGGCGTGAGGCCTAGTGAGGCCTGGTGTGGCGGGTTGCTCCAAAGCATTGTGGGAAACTGGAAGCCCCAGTGCATGCTGGGATACCTCAAGGCCTGGTCTGCCAGGATGAGGCCTCCCCCAGGGCATGCTGGGATACCCAGTGCCCCATTGCAGGCTGGGATGGCGTGAGGCCTAGTGAGGCCTGGTGTGGCGGGTTGCTCCAAAGCATTGTGGGAAACTGGAAGCCCCAGTGCATGCTGGGATACCTCAAGGCCTGGTCTGCCAGGATGAGGCCTCCCCCAGGGCATGCTGGGATACCCAGTGCCCCATTGCAGGCTGGGATGGCGTGAGGCCTAGTGAGGCCTGGTGTGGCGGGTTGCTCCAAAGCATTGTGGGAAACTGGAAGCCCCAGTGCATGCTGGGATACCTCAAGGCCTGGTCTGCCAGGATGAGGCCTCCCCCAGGGCATGCTGGGATACCCAGTGCCCCATTGCAGGCTGGGATGGCGTGAGGCCTAGTGAGGCCTGGTGTGGCGGGTTGCTCCAAAGCATTGTGGGAAACTGGAAGCCCCAGTGCATGCTGGGATACCTCAAGGCCTGGTCTGCCAGGATGAGGCCTCCCCCAGGGCATGCTGGGATACCCAGTGCCCCATTGCAGGCTGGGATGGCGTGAGGCCTAGTGAGGCCTGGTGTGGCGGGTTGCTCCAAAGCATTGTGGGAAACTGGAAGCCCCAGTGCATGCTGGGATACCTCAAGGCCTGGTCTGCCAGGATGAGGCCTCCCCCAGGGCATGCTGGGATACCCAGTGCCCCATTGCAGGCTGGGATGGCGTGAGGCCTAGTGAGGCCTGGTCTGGCGGGTTGAGGCCTAGGCTAGAGCATGCTGGGATACCCGGTGCCCCGGTGCATGCTGGGATGGCGTGAGGTCTACTGAGGCCTGGTCCGCCGTGTTGAGGCCTGGTCTGGCGGGTTGAGGCCTGCCCCAGAGCATGCTGGGATACCCGGTGCCCCATTGCAGGCTGGGATGGCGTGAGGCCTGGTCTGGTGACTTGAAGCCTATCCCATGGCATGCAGGGATACTCATTGCCCCATTGCATGCTGGGATGGTGTGAGGCCTAGTGAGGCCTGGTGTGGCGGGTTGCTCCAAAGCATTGTGGGAAACTGGAAGCCCCAGTGCATGCTGGGATACCTCAAGGCCTGGTCTGCCAGGATGAGGCCTCCCCCAGGG